TGTGTTCAAAAGAAACAAAATAAATTATTGGAATTATGTGGAATATTAAAACATCAAATTAAATCAAATAGTTATGGTGATGAGTTAATGACTGGTAAGCAAGACTTAATTTCACCAATTCTTGAAATTACAGAAGAGTCATTTAACGCTAGAAATTTACAAATGTGTTGTAAAGCTATTGATTTAATTGATAAATTATTATTGTATCAAGCTATTAAACATGTAGAAATTACATATAAAAACCAATCAGTTGATGTATTAGTTGTATTAATTAATATGCTTTCATCAATGTTTAAATATAATGGAAATATAACGAATTTATATGTTGCTAAATGTTTAACAACTATTGTTGATAAATTCTCTTCTACATTAAACGCTCCATTTATTATTGAAGTATTTAAAATTATATATGACATGTATATTATTACTCCATCTATTGATACAAATAATGGAGCATATCAAATGTGTATTGGTAGAATTGTTGATATTATCCTTTCTAAAATGGGTCAAAAAAGTGAAGTTAATGGAGAATTATTAAAAGGAAATATTCAACAAGGAATTTCTTTATTTACTTGTTTATGTCAATATGCAACGACTAATTGGAGTGAACGTACATTAAATATAAATGCATATAATCAATTTATTCAATCAATTACACATGAAGCAAAATCACAATTAAATCAAAAATCAAGGCAATCAATATTTATGCTTCTTCAATCTTATTTAGAAAAATATCCAGAAAGCCTTATTTCATTTGAATTTATTACAAGTAAATTTGTTGCTGATCTTACTGATGTTATCCTTTCAAATGCAACTGAATATACAAAACAAATTACTTTATCTACAATTAAATTACTTAAAATTAGTATTATGCGATTTAGAAAATTCATGAGAATTAACCTAGGTATAATATTCACAAAAGTTATTAACCAAATATTAGGTTCTAAAGTTGTTGAACATCAAAGAATGGTGTTAGAATTATTAAAAGAAATTTTAAAGACAGACGGTTTTTGTATTGAATTATTTGTTAATTATGACTGCGATGAAAGTAGTCCAAATGTCTTTGAAGATATGACAAATGGAATAGTTTTAGCATTGAAAATTCCTTCATTAAGTTCACTTGCTCTTGATGTTCTTTATATTATTTATGTTACATTAGTTAACGCAACGGAAAAATGGGAAGAAAACCTTCATTCATTAATCAAAGAAGAAGATCCAGTTATTCCACTTTCAAGTATTGACATTGTTCAACTCAAAGAAAAGAAAAAAATAATTTCTGATGGATTATTGCTTTTCGAAAAATCCCCAAAGAAAGGTGTAGAATTCTTTATTGAAAAAGAATTATGTACTTCATCTGCTCAAAGTATTGTTCATTTTCTTCATCATCTTAATGGACTAAATAGAAAAGCTTTTGGAGAATATCTTGGAGGAGCTGGAGAATTAAATAAAGAATGTCTGACTGAATTATTAAAGATGATTGATATGAAAGGTGTTGAAATTGATGAAGCTTTAAGATTAATGTTTGATACTTTTGTTATGGGAGGTGAAGGACAAGTTGTTGAACGAGTTATTGGTGCATTTTCTGCACGATATTGTGAATGTAATCCAACAGGATATGGTGGAATAACTCAAGATGAATTGTATCAATTAGCAATGTCTATTATTTGTTTAGCAACAGAAACACATAATCCTAGTGCAAAGATTAAAGCATTTGATACTTTTGAAAAGTTCAAAGATGTTGTCACAACTGAAAAAGGATTTAATATTAAAATGGATGACCAACCATTAAAAGGTATTTTTGAACGTGTTGTAGCAACACCATTTGCTATTGTACAAAAAGATGAATCTTCAAAAAAGACATTCTTCTTACAAGATCAAGGCAAATATCAAATAGAAAAATCTCATGAAGTAGTAAGAGAGATTCATATTTTTATTTATAAGAATTTATGTAAAGAAGTTATGGAATATTGTTTTGTTAATAATGACAATCAAATAATGACAAAAGGAGTTATGATATTACAATCAGCTGTTCATTTAAGTTCAATTTTCTTCCTTGAAGAAGCTTTAGAATATCTTATTCAAATAATGAGGTCATTAGCATGTATTGACCAACCTCAATTTATTGAAGAACGACATCTTATGGTAATTAGAGGATTATTAAGTATTCCTCATAATGATGGAGAATTTTTATTAGTTGGATGGACACCATTTTTAAGATGTTTATTTGAAATAGAACGGTTAAGACAAATTGCCTCTGGTTGGGGAGAACAATCAATTAGTGTCGACCAAATTCAAGGACCATTCTCATTCCCTATAGAATATGAATTTGGTAAACGTCCACAGCATGAACCTCTTCATCCATCAGTAGTCATTACTGAAATTGAAATATCTGAAATAAATGAAGTATTTTATGAAAGTGGTTCTTTAGGGCATCGTGCAGCAAAAGCATTCTTTAGATCATTATGTGAAATCATTTTAGAACAAATCGATCAAAGATCTCCTGGATTATTTGCATTCCAAGCTCTTATTGTTGCTGCATCCAGTAACAAACAACGAAGTGAAAATCATTGGGCACCGTTTTGGGATTCTTTAAACTCATTATTTAAAAAATGTTGTATGCATCCAAATGATATTGTTTCAATGGGAGCAATTGACTGTTTGAGGCAGTTAATTACAATGTTTAGTGATATGAAAGAGGAAAATTGTCAAAATCAGGAAAGAGCACTTGAGCCATTTGTTCGTGTTATAGCAGATCATCCAATAATAGTAGTAAAAGAGTTAGTCATTGCATGTTTAAAAAGATTAATAGGAAATGTTAATTGGTTAAATAATATCAAATCAGGATGGAAAGTATTAATTCAGTGTGTACGATTTGCAGCTGAATATGAAAAAACCAAGTTGAATGGATTTGAGTTATTGCAGTATTTTTATGAACATTATAAAGAAGAGCTAATGAAAGAGTATGTATTATTTGTTAACTCATTAATTGCTTATCAGAAAAATGGTTCTGGAAATGGTGAAGAATATAATTTATCTATCATTAAAATGGTAAGTGAAATTCTCGAAAATTCTTTTGATATTACTCTTGGAACTGAATGTATTAAAAGAGCAAATGAAGAAAAAGAACAAGAGACTCATTTAAAACCAATGTATGTTGAAGAATTAACACGTTCTACTGAACAATATTTGTTAAAATATTTACCATTATATACATCTCTTGCTGCTAGTGGTACAGGAAAATATCCAACTGTTGCTGAATCTGCTATTATTACAATGAAAAATTTATTACTTAAAATGCCTATTGAATTAAGAGATATTATTTTCTATAGGTCATTATATCGTTGTTTAAATACAGATTTACCTTCTAACTCACCAAAAGTATTAAATGTTTTATATGATTGTTGTTTAGAATTACCCCTAAATTTAATTCTTCCAGTCCTTTATTTTGCTTTCAATAACATGTTAAATCATGAGAAAGTATGGGATCAAACACTTAATTTCTTAAAGAAGTTTATTTTACATGAAAAATTTGATGAAGTTTATGACCAATACCTTCAAATTCAATCAATTTACTTTAATAGTGTGGTTAATGCCATAAAAGGAATCACTTCTGCTTCTATAACTAAAGCACAACGTCCTAAACCAGGAAAGAGATGTGAGTGTTGTAAATGTCATAAAGATGGTATTACTGCATTTATGTTAAGATGTCCAGGATGTTTACAAATGTATTATTGTGAAGGATGCAATGAAAATAACCATACACTTCAATGTATTAGAAAGTGGAAGTCATGGAAGATCACTGAGCTTGGACTTACTTCTGTGTCATGTAAAGGTTTAAGCCAATACATCACAACTATAAAAGGATTAAAAGATGATGCCAAGATGTTGAAACAATATGAAGAACAAAGAAAGGCATTATTTACAGCCATAGAACAATTACCATTAGAAATCATTACTGAACATTATGAAAACATTATGACTATTACATTTGATAGTCATATCACCACTGTAGATCAATTGCATGATCTAGACATTCAATATTTAATTGAAGAAATCAATAAAATGATTAAGTACTATAATGAGAATGGATTTGCTATGTGTAATTCTAAACAGCTTATTATCCATTCATTGGAACAAATTATGGTATTATCTGATAAACATTTCTTAGAAATAATAAAAGGCGTTCAATCAGATTTAGTACAATTAATTGCATCAAATGATAGTGATGTTCGTAAGTGTATTATCAAAATAATACAAAGAATACAAACGCTAGTTTTAATTCCATGAATTGAATCATTAAAATAACATTTTATTAATTTTTGTTATTTAAAAAGAGAAAAACTAAGAAAAATGAACTAATAAAGTTGAAATGGCATTACCTCCTTCACGTGCAAATCCTGCTGTAATTCAATTTGCTTCAAAACAATCTATCCCACAACAACCAAAACAAATTATTGCCCCTTCATTAATTAAACGTAATCCAACTCAACCAGTACTTAAACCCCTTGTTCAAAATGGAAATACATCAACAGCAGAAGAGGGAATAATAATGAAAAATAGTTATATTCTTCAACCAAATAGAATTATTGGATCTGATTTTCTTACTCGACCAATTCTTTTACAATTATTAAGAAAAGTTTTATACACAGAAAATCCTGATCAGCCATTATTTTTAGGAGAAGGTGTAAGTGAAATTATGTCAAGTACTGCATATGAGAAATTATGGTATATTATTACACGAATTGGAAAAGCAGCAGAAACAAGAATATCACCAGGAGAAGGGTTAAAAGTTAATTATTTACAAACAAATACAGATGAAATAAGAAAAGAATTAAATGTAAAAGATGAAAAAAAACCCAAAGAGATTCATAGAGATGGTAAACGGATAAGAATATCAATGACTGATGTAATGTTTTGTAAAAAGTTTTTACCAGAAAGAAGTCTTCATAGATATGAAACAAAAAAATATAAATCAGGTAAATGATTGTTTAAATTATAATTTATTTTGGTAATTGAATTTGTTGAGATGTTTTGATTATCATATCAGCAATATTTAATAATGATGTTAAATTTTGTGGTGTCGTACAAATATCAATAACTTTACAATCTGCATCAATCCCTACATCAGTATATCCATCATCTGCATCAATTACTTCAATTTCCATTGTTACACCTTCACATTTTACAACTTCATCTTTATCTATATTCACTTTAGTATTACTTAAATTACCAATTATTTCTAGCTTATTTAATGTTCCTGGTTTATCAGTAATAGTTACAATACCTAATTGTGCTGTTACTTCTCCAATATCAATTTTTGGAGCTTCAATAACAAAGTTTAATCTTATTTTACGAGATACAGTTGCAGTTTGTTCAATAAATTGAACCGTTTTACCTTTTAAAGCAGATAGAATCTTCACAAGTTGTTCATAATATTGTGCACCCCTAATAATAACTTTGTCATAAAAAATGATATGAATTTGAGATAAATTACCCTTAAACATTGATAATTCATTTCGTTTTTCATAAATATATTCAAATGTTCCCATCTCTTTTTCATCAGAAATAGAAACAATTACTTTATCATCTGATACAGCTTTTAATGTACCTATCTTTAAAAATACATTAGTGTCTTCTCTAAATCGTTTCATTTCAATACTACTTTTTAATAATGAAACTATCATAAAATCTCCTTGTTTATCATTCAAATGGAAATTAATTTCATTCATTAAAAATTTAAATACAAATGCTCGTTCTGGTTGTATTTTAGTAGTTTCAACAACTTCAGCAAACCCACTTTCAGTAATAAGATATTTATTTTCAACAGAGAAGAATTTAATTAATTTTAATAATGTTTCTTGAGTTAATCGAATATGAGAAGAATGACCAAATGAAAGTGTTATTATTTTTTCTTTTTCAGCAGTTTCAAATGAAAAATTCATAAAATTATCAATCTTTTTTTGTCCTTCAACCCAGAAAAGTAGTTCATCTTTATTTAAATGATCAATAAAACTACCACTTTTAATTTCTACAGTATGTAATGAACAGTCATGAGGTAAACTTAAATATTTATATTTTAATTCATCAAATTTCATAATTCCAATTTGTTCTTCTTCATTGACATTAACTTCTACACTACCAATGTCAGCTGTAAAAATACGACTTCTAATATCTGATAATTCTTGTTGATTTGGAGATACTACAGGATGATATTTGATTAAGTCTTGATGTTTACTTAATTCTCCTAAATTAATCATAATTAACCCAACAATCTCTCTATACCTTTCTTTAGTTAAATTAATATATCCAGAAGGAATTGATAATGAAATATCCCATGCAGGAAAATCAACAGCAACATTCTTTTCATCTGGAAAAGTAAAATTAAAAGTAACTTCTTTTGCTGAAACATTTTCATCAAAATAAATATCATATAAAGTAAGACTTTTAGTTGATTGTTGATTTTGAATCCATGTACTTCTTACTTGTAACTGTTTTGCTATTAATTTTATACCATCTTCAATATATGAAGCAACTGGAATACATAATGAAACATTTGTAATATCTGTCTCTAACTTCAGTCGATCATATGAATGAGATGGTTCATTTGAAGGAAATACTCTTACACTACAAATATGAAGAAAGTCTTGAAGCCAACTATATAATTGTTGAATAAAAATATTTAGATATGTACAAGTCATTTGATCAGTTTTAATAGATAAATAATGTCTATAGTCTTGTTGAATTGCTTTTTGAGTAATGGCATGAGTATATAAAATGTCGATTGGAGTATCTACTGTTTGAATAACCATTGAATGAATTTTACCTGAGATAGTTTCATCTTTAGCAAAAACTCTTTTTAATGACCCTTTAACAGTTATGTCAACTTCAGGATTATTGTTATCTATTAATATATCAAATGATCCACCAACAGCACTTCCTGATGCTAACAAACTTCCACGATTTCTAACTACTAATCCAATAGAAGTAAAAACAAAAGAAACTTGTACTACTTTACTTTGAGTTTTCTTTTGAGGAATACTAACAACAGTTTGTTGTTCATGATCATTATATAAGAAATGAAGAATATGGTCAAGATGAGGAAGATCAAAATAAATCATTGATTGTGCAGCAAATAATGTTATCGTTATTGGTTTATCATTTTCATTTGTCATATGAAGGCTAACAAGTGATTCATTTGTCTGTTTTTTACTGAAAAATGTCATATTGTCATTATCAATAACAATAACATCTCCAAAACTTATATCAGCACTTGACTTTTTATCTTTTATAATAGAAGTCATTGTTAATTGTTTAGCTGAAACATTAAAAATTGGTTCATTTTCTGTTAAAGAAATAAATGCAGTAGCTTCAGGAATTGAAACAGTTAATTTTAATTTAATAAAATCTTCAGGGATTTGTATAACAGCATCATCTCCTATATCAGTTAAATCATCTTCTTGTTGCAATAAATCTCTAATAGCTTCATGCTCTGTTTTTGGTTTTGGTTTTTGATTTTTAAACATTAACCTAATAACTCTCATTTGTTCAGAAGAAATATGAAGTTTTGTTGTATCAAGTAAACAATCAACAATAATTCCAGGACTAAATTCATTTAATTTTTCTTTCATTTCTTTCCATGATAATAAAGCTTTTTGTATATCAAAAGACATCTGAGTTTTCTCAAGAAGAATTTCTGATTTAGAATCAGTAATCATTTTACAATTAATTTCATTAATTGTTAATTTATATGAATCATATATTCCATTTCTTTCATTTGTTAACATTTTAACAATTCCTAAATCAATATGAAGTTCATTATTATCAGAATGAATAATAATATAAGGTGCATGAATCATTGCTGATATAACAACCCGAATATGTTCATCTAATATACTTTTTAAATTCATAGAAGGTAATTTAACACCAATTTGACCATATGATTCAACAACATCTAATGATCTAAATACATTCATTAATTCTTCAGCCATATTTTTATTATAAACAATCTTTGTAGGTTCTAAATGAACATCTAATGAAAAATCACTATCAATTTTTTCTTCTTCTTTTTCACTTGTTAATTTAATATGTAATAAATTTTTTTCATTGTTTATAGCTGAAAATATATATGGGTATTTATTATCTTTATTACTCTTAACTTTAGCATCATTAAGATCAATATTAGCAGTAAATCCAATAGTTTTCTTAACAACAGAACAATTCAATGCACTAATTTCTACTTCTACAAATGCCTCATTTAAATCACTTCCAAATAAATCAATAATAAATTGTTTTGTTTCAAATGAAAAATCAACTTGTTTTAGTTTTTTTGTGTCAGTTACTTTTTCTTCTTTATTATCATCTCCAAGAAATGAATGAATATCTTCTGTTAATTGTGAATTGACAACATTAGAATATCCCATCCAACTCCATATTCCACTACTATTACTTTTTGCTTCATCAACTTCAGATTTTGCAAAGTTTCTTAAATAAATTATCTCTTTTACACTAAGCTCTTCTTCTAATTCATTAAATCGTTCTTTATCCCCACTAACTGTAGTTTCACTAAGTACTCTAGTATATATATCTGTATATTCCTGACGTAATGCTCTTCTTTTTCTTTTATATTCATTACTTTCTTTATAATTTTTTTTCTTAACTTCAATTAATAAACTATCAAATGCAAATTTCCACCATTTCTTTGGTACCTGTTCAACTCCTTCTTCTGGTTTTTTAATATTCCTTCCAGCTTGAGAACATTTTCCTTCAAATAATTTTTGTTGTTGCATTAAACTTTTCACATCAATCATTACTCCTTGTGATACTCCAACCTTTAACATTTCTAAAATAATTTGACTTGTAACCGGATATGAATCATCTTTATCTGATAAAATCAACCTCATTTTTGTTGTAAGGTCATCTATAATATATTCCTTTTTGATGTTTGTGTCCCATTTATCTTCTTTCGTTTGTGAATGATAAATTCTCATTTTAATAATTTCAGCAATCTTAAAATGATCTCCTTGATTCTCCACTACAAAAGCTGGATTCCACTGACTATCCGTAGAATATAATTTAATTGAATCAATAACTGAACCAATAGCATATTTTGTATTAATCCATCCATTAACCCCCTCATATCTAATATGAATATTTGTAATATCAATTTGCATATTATTGATAACTTTTGTTATTATTCTTTGTGTTAAAGTTGTTTTATCAGAAGTAATTTCATAATTTCTTAATTGTCGTTGTTTAGACTCTTGCTCTTCTTTTTTTAATTGCTCAGAAATAACAGATGGATCTACACTATAATCGGTGGTACAAACTAACTCAATGTCATTAATTTCAACTACAACAGGTTGTGAGTCTAATTTATTCCACGGAAAACGTAAAGACATTTTGCCAATTCTTCCAGATGTAACTTTTAATGGAACTCCAACTAAAAATCCATCAAATGCACTTTCATTAATTATAAGATTTTCTAACGTAACATCACCATTCCATAATGAAATACGAAGATTTTCTGCATTAAGTCCACTTATATATTTACCAAAATATCGAGTAAGTACTTCAGATACGATATTCTCAAACATATAATAATGTTTTTGTATTTTAAAGTTCTTTATTCTATTTGAAGAAAAAAACAAAAAAAAATATAATTCAAAAGGAAAATGTTCAAAATAGACAATCAACAAAAAAGAAATAACCCTTTCAATCTTGTAATCATTTCTCACTTTTGTTTATATGAATCTCTTAAAATCTCTTGATGCCTTTCTTACTACTTACCATAACTATTTTCCTATTGCCCGTTCTATTACTCGTACTTTACTATTAATTTTACCAAAATCTACAAAAATCCCTGAACGTTTAATTTCAACTATTCTTGAATTACTTGAAATCCATCATGTTATTATTTCTTCTCCACCTACTTTCCCTTTAAATTCATTGGCATTAACAAGTGCAATGACTATAATTTCTCCTTATGTAGAATCATTATTTACTAATACTAAAATGAAATATTTATTCTTATTTCCTATTCAATCCTTACGAGTATATTATTCTATTCAATACTTTCTTAAAAGTGGTTTTTCTCTTATTCCTTCAACAAATACAATGAAATTACAATTAACAAGTAAACAATCAATTTCTACTCTTTTAACGTTACAAAATAAGACTCTTAGAATTGTTTCAGAATTAATACATTCATTCAAACCTATCTTTGTTTTAATAAGTTTCAGTGTATTTGGAGATAACAGTTATGTTCCACTTTTTATTTCATTTATTTTATCATGTGCAGAGTTTGTTTGTTTATACAAAAACTCATCAACATTTTCTTCATCAGAACTATCTATTTATCATCAACGACTAACACGTATATGGGTCTTTTTTATATTTCCTGTGGTAGTGAATGCTTATCGTTGTAATCCAACAATACAACATTTATTAAAAACAAAAATACCAGGAATACATTATATATTAAGTTTGTTGTTTTTATTAAATTAGAAAGAAAAGAATTAATGAAATAGATATTATCAGCCAGAGTATTATTGATTCAAATATCTCAACATTGTTGTAATTAAAACTTTTTGTATTGTTAAAACTATATTTTAATAATAAAAATATAATAAATTATAGAAAGTAAAAAAATAAAAACTTAAAAAAAAAAGATTTAAAAGAATGACAAAAGAAGAAATTAAATATATTCTTGGGATTGAAGGAAGTGCTAACAAACTTGGTGTAGGAATTGTTACTTCAAATGGAGAAGTATTAAGCAATTTAAGAGATAGTTATTACGCTCCTTCAGGACAAGGATTTCTCCCAAGACAATTAGCTGAACATCACCGAAATAATATTTTAGGATTAGTTAAAGAGGCATTAGAAAAAGCAAAGTTAACGCCACAACAAATTTCATTAATTGCTTATACTAAAGGACCAGGAATTGCTGCACCTTTAATGGTATGTGCTGTTGTAGCAAGAACACTTTCAATCATATGGAATATTCCTTTAATAGGAGTGAATCATTGTGTTGCCCATATAGAAATGGGTATGTTAGCAACAGGAGCAAAACATCCAGTTTGTTTATATGTTTCAGGAAGTAATACACAAGTAATTGCATTTTCATTAGGTAAATATAGAATATTTGGAGAAACAATAGATATTGCTGTTGGGAATTGTTTAGATCGATTTGCACGAGAAGTTATGTTACCAAATGAACCAGCTCCTGGTTATAATATTGAACAAATGGCAAAAAAAGGAAAGAAATATATAAAACTACCTTATGTTGTAAAAGGAATGGATATTTCATTAACTGGACTATTAACTTCAATTGAAACATATATCAATAAACATGAAAGTGTTGAAGATCTTTGTTATTCTCTTCAAGAAACATTATTTGCTATGTTAGTTGAAGTAACTGAAAGAGCAATGAGTCAATGTAGTGCTAGTGAAGTTCTTGTTGTAGGAGGAGTTGGATGTAATGTTAGATTACAAAATATGCTTAAAACAATGGCAAACGAAAGAGGAGCAACGTTAGGAGCAATGGATGAAAGGTACTGTATTGACAATGGTGCCATGATTGCATGGACAGGATATCTAATGTCTAAGAGTGGTCAGTTTACACCTATAGAAGATGCAACAGTACATCAAAGATTTAGAACAGATGAAGTTGATGTTACATGGAGATAATTTAAAATAAAACTCTTAAAATAATTTATTTAAAATAATAGAAAATGAGTAAATAATAAAAAAACCACCAAAAATTAAATTAAGATTATTTATTATCAACACCAAGACCCGACACAACACTTGATCTAAGGACAGCCTCATTATCTTTAAGGTATTTGCAAATTTCATGAGCTCCTTTAATAACAACTTCTTTTGGTGGAACAACAAGAGGATTATTAGTTAATTCAATAGTTTGTAAAATACCATCAAGTTGACCCATTTCAACAGGTAAAACAGGAATCATATTTTGAGTTAATTCAAGTCTATTTAATTGTCTTAAATCACCAATTGAAGCAGGGAGTGATTTTAATTGATTGTTTCTAGCATCAAGATAAGTAACAGAAATTAATCTACCAAGAGATTCTGGTAATCTATTAAGTCTATTACCAGCAACAGTAAGATTTTGAACATTAGTAAGATTAGAAAATGTTTCTGGAAGTTCAACCATTAAATTATTAGAAACATCAAGTTCAACAATAGATGTTAAATCACAAAGACATTGTGGATAACTATGAATTTGGTTATTACTAATAGATAATTTACTAATATTAGTTAATGTTGAAATACCTTCTGGGAATGATGATTCATTAAGAGAGTTATGAGCTAATTCAAGAATATTTAAGTTAGTCAAAGAAGTAATATTTGGAGGTAATACAGTAATATTACATCCAACGAAATCAAGTCTTTGTAATGAAGCAATATTGAAAATTTCTTCAGGCATTCCTTTCATTTTTATATTATCACGTACATTTAATTCACATAACATTTTCAAAGAAGAAAGTCCAGGAATATTAGTAATTGGAAGATTCTTAACAACAAGACGAGTAAGATTTTGAAGAGAATCTAATGGTGGAAGTTCAAGAATACCTTGATTATTTTGACAATCTAATTCTACTAAGAACTTAAAGTTAGTTAAAACATCAATATTTCCAGATAATTTATTAAATCCAATTCTAAGAATTTTAAGAGCAATCATATTTGATAACTCTTCTGGTAAAAGATCCATTTGATTATTAGAAAGATCAAGTTCATATAATGAACGAAGATTTCCAATTTCAGTTGGTAATTTTCTAATAGAATTCTTATTAACAAGAAGAGTTTGAAGTTTATCCAACATACCAATTTCTGGTGGAAGTGATTTTAAGTTATTTTCAGAAATATTAAGATATTGAAGAGAGAGTAATGAACCAATTTCTGGTGGAATAGATTCCAATTTATTCATTGAAATATCAAGTCTTTGTAAATTAGAGCACATCTTAATTTCAGATGAAATACCATCATAAAACAAATTGTTTTTTCCAAGATATAATTCTCTTAAATTAGAGGCTTTTTGAATAGAATCAGGAATAGAAGTAATACGATTATTAGATAATGTTAATACTTCTAAGTTTGGCATTAAACAAACATCTTCTGGAATTGATGTAAAATCATTTTGAGATGCATTAAAATTAGTACAAACACATTTAGAAATTTGTTTAGGAAATTCTGATAAATTTTTACCAGAAATTTCAATAGATGATTGGGTTAATAACTTTTTATCAAATTTAGCTCCTTTTGATCCTTTAGCTCCCATTTCTTATTAATGGTTATTTTTTAGTTTTTTTTTGTTCCTCTTTTTTTTTTATTTTATTTATTCTTTATTATAATTTATTATTCTTTTATTATACTTTTATTTTTTTTTTCTATTTTTGTTCCTTCTTTTACTTCTTTTTTGTATTTTTTATTCTTAATAAAAAATGATATAAAAATTATTGATAATTCCTTATATTTATTGATTATGTTAGTATAAATTAAAAAAAAAGAATAAAGTAAAAAAAATAACTAATTCGTTAGTTGTCATTTTTTTTATCTTTTATCTTTCTTTCAAATAATCTTAAACAGTTATTCTTTATACTAAAAAAAAAACTAAATATTCATTTACATTTTTAATTTCTAGATTTTATAATAAAATGCAACAAATAAGAATTATTCTTGATATTGGTCGACCAGGAGAAGAAAGACCAACATTAGATATTAAAGCTACATCAATACAAGATGCAATTGATCAATCAGTTCAACATTTTTGTGTTGAAGGAGTTTTTATATTAACAGATATGGAAGGAATACCATTAAATCAATTAACATTTCCAAAAATTAAAACAGCTATAATGACAATGTCACCGGCATTTGTTGCACGGCAGTCTATTTTAAAAATAAAAAAAGCAACGAATGAAGTAGAAAAAGAAAAAGCAATAAATGAAATTGTAAAAGAATTACAAAACCAAACTTATGCAAGAGAATTTTTTAAAACAACATTATTTCCACCACCATTTAATAAACAAAATATTAAAATTATTAAAGCATCAATGAGATATAAAGATGCTATAAAATTAATGTTAAATGATAAATATATTCAAGAATTATATAATATTATGTGTACAAATGAAGATTTAGAAATTAGATTACAAGCAGCAGAAGTATTAAATGTTTTATGTATTTCAGGAGGAGAAATATTTATTATTTATGCAGCAAAAGTATTTGCAGCAAAAAGTGATGAATATAAATATAGATCATTATTACCAATGATTGGAAATACAAAAATTGGAGCAACAGTAGTTGCATTATTATTAGGAATTTTAAAATGTTCACCAGAAGGAAGAAAAAGTAAAATTGTTATGGATTTTAAATATGTTGGAATAACTGAAGCAGTAAAAAAATTAAAATCATATAAATTATTAGTAACAAATTTTGAAAAAGCTTTAAAAGATGATTGTCAAATAATAAATTATGATCAAAGAAGTAAAAGAGAATGGAAAAGAGTTGAAGAAATTCGACAAAATTCTATTCAATTAGAAAATAGAATTAAAACACTTTATTTAGATAAAGAACGAGCATTAAAAAGTAAAGAAGAATTATCAATAATATTAGAACAAAAAAAACAAGAAATAATAAAATGTAATGAAGATATAAAATTTTTAAAAGAACATACAGAAGTTAGAAATAATATTTCTATTACAATTAGAAAATTAACAAGAATAGAACTTATTGAAGAAATAGCAAAAACTAATAGAGATATTGAATTATTTACAAAAGAAAAAGAACGTTTATTAAATGAAATTGAAGACGTTCCAAAAGAAAAGAAAAAAGTTATTGTAAATAATTTCATAGAACAAAATGATAAAGAAAAAATAAAATCAATTCCTCGTGGGAATTTTATAAGTAAAAGAATTACAACACAAAACTTTTCTCATTCAAAAATTAATTGTCTTAATGAAAATATATTTAATCAACCTAAAATTGAATTATCTGTTTATTTACCTGAATTAAAATGGAATAGAATTATTTTAAAACCAGACCATCCAAAATGTTTATGGGACTGTCTTCCTGAAAAAAAATTAAATATTTGTGATGTAGAAAATTCATTTAAAATAGAAGAACAAAATTCAACAAATCCAGTTATTTCAAGATATAAATATATTGATTTATGTGTATTAAGAAATAAATTTCCTTCAAGTGTTTCATTAGGAATTGATATTAATAATTTTTATTATCGTCAAATAACTGAACGTGATGGTAAATTTTTAATTAATACTCTTAAAGGAATTCATCTTAATGAATTAGATTATTCTGATGGTGGTAAAGGAATTGAAGGATGGTTAAAACCTTTATTAGAAATACCTGCTTTTCAAATTAAATTAAAAATGTGGGTTGAATCAATGTTAATTGAAAATGAAGTTAATAGAATTACTCCTTTAATTCAAAATTGTTTTAAAGCTATTGAAGTTGTAAAAAGTTCAAGAAGTTTTAAAGAATTAATAAATATTATTTTAGTAACAGGAAATTATTTAAATTCTGATTATCCTTCAATTAGATGTGCAGATGGATTTCAAATAGATCTTTTAATAAAATTAAGAGAAACACGTCTTCCACAAAAACAAGTTAGTATGTTAGATTTTGTTATTAAAATGCATTCTAACCCAGAACAACTTATTGAAGAATTATCTATTTCTTCATTTGCTAAAATTGATTTAAATAAATTAATTAATGATAGTAAACAACTTATTGTAAAATGTTCTTCTTTAAAACAAATTATTCAAACTCAAATTATCTCTCTTCCTTCTAAACAACAAAGTCATATTACTGAAGAAGTTAATACTTTAATGTCTCGTGTTATTTATTTAAGAGATTTTATTATTAAAACAGCTAAAAAATTCTATCAAATGATGTATTGGATTATTGGTATTCCTGCTGTTGCTGTTGAATATAATCCAATCACTTTCTTTGGTATTCTTGAACAATTCACTCAACAACTTAAAGAATCTCTTGAAGATAAAACAGAATTAAAACCATCTGTTACATTAATTAATAGAGCTTTTACAGAAATGACAAGAAGAGAAAAACACATTCATTTTGGTAGTCAAGATGATTTACTTGCAAAAGTTATTTGTTGTCTAAAGAAAGGAAAAATTAAAGCTTCCATTTTACGTAAAATATTAAATTAATTCAATTCTACCTAATTTACTTTTTGTTTAAAATTCCTTCTTACATAGTAATAACTACAATAAGAGCATGAATTACACCTGGAACCCAACAAAGAATTGTTAATATAATATTAATCCAAAAATGAAGTCCACAAGTTACTTTAAAGAAAACTGCTAATGGTGGAAGGAAGAATGAAAGAATACAAAGTAAAAGACATCCAAGAGTAATATCTCCCATGTTGTTTCTAATGTTTGTTTTTTCGTTTCAGTTTCTTGTTTATATATTATACCTTCTCTATTTTTAGGATCTTTTCAAAAACTCTTTTTTCTCTTGGAATGTTCCTGACATTGAAATTTCATTATTTTATCTTAATGAAAAGACATGTATTTTTCAAGAATAATTCTTCAGAAAGAATATTCAACTCAGATTTTTTCTTATGACACTAATTATTTTCATGATAATATCATTGTCTTTTTCTCTTTGTACAAATGTGAAAAAAGGGTTTTATTGTTTGGATAGATCAAAATTTGTTTGGTGTTCAGGTACTAATCAGAGCATGGCAATCACTTGTTTTAAGGAGACTGTATGTAAGTGTGGAAAAACAAAATATAATCCATGTGTCTTCAGTTTCCAAGAATTAGATGATTGTGAAGGACTTCCTGGAGATATAATCAATGAGCCATCAAAATTTTATGAAAATTATAAATAATACAAAATAACATGAAACATTTTAAAGAAAATTAATTCAAAATAAATGTTTTTTAATAATTAATTTTTACAAGAAATACGATAGAGAACTTAAAATTTTACAAAAAAAGTTTATTATTAAGTTATGTCAAATTCAGGAGAAACAATTCTTCTTTCTATTAAACAATGTATGTTGTTTAAAATAATTGGAAAAGATGGTCAAGTAAAGAAAAAGTTTGAAACTTTTTCTAATAAACCTTTTTTATTAAAATAAAACTTATCAATTAGTGCCGCAGATTGGCAACAATCAGATTTTTTATGGAGTGGAAGGTGTTTAGTTACTAGATCACCTGAACATTGTATTATCAAATTTGTTGAAAATAATGATATTGAATTTTGTTCTTGTATTGTTTCAGATGATTCTGTTCAAAATGTTAATGATAGTAGTAGATATTTTATATTAAAAGTTAATGAAATAAATGGTGGGAGAAAGGCAACTGTTGGTCTTGGATTTGTTGATAGGTCAAATGCATTTGATTTTAGTGCAGTTCTTCAAGATATTGAAAGAAAAATGAATAAAAAAGATTCTACTCAAATTGATTCAGTTCAAACTGAAAATTATATATTAAATGATGGTGAGATGATATCTCTCCCTTTTGATGATTTAACACCTGTAACTAATACGATGAATAACTTACAACCTTTTGATGAAGCAAAAGTTCGTTCTGTAACTTTCAATTCAAGTCAAGCCCAACCAATTGATATTGAAGAAGAAAAAGAAGAAACAGTTATTGTATTAAACGAAGTACAACCTCAAAGTACTCAACCACCTTCTATAGACTTCTCTAACTTTGGTCAATCAACACAAACAACTCATCAAAACTTAGAAATTAATTCAACCACAAATTCTAAAAATACTGTTGATATCTTTGCTAATTTTAATCAACAAGCAGTAACCACTTCTCAAACAAATACTATTAACTTTGATTTATTTTCATCTCCATCAACACAAAATAAATCATCAACACAGAATGCTTTGGATATTCTTCTTTTTAATTAATTAGTTTATTTTACTATTAAAATATTGTTTAATTTATAAAAAATGTTTTTTAATTTTTATTTTTATTTTTTAATAGAACTTAAAAAATGGAAGCAAAAAAAAACCTGAAATAATAGGATAATTAGAAGGAATTTATTGAGATGTTGACTTGTAAGAAACTAAAAACTTAAAAATAAAGAAGAAAGATGAGTAACTTATTGATAAGTATTTGTTTATGTGGAGATCCATTTGTTGGAAAAACATGTTTTTTCCAACGTTTTTCAAATGGTGAATTTAATGCTAATACAAAGACATCTATTGGAAGTGATGTAACATGTAAAAAACTTCAACTTGATGGTAAAACATATAACGTTCAATTATGGGATACTGCTGGACAAGAAATATTCCGATCAACTACAACAACTTATTTTAGAAATAGACATTGCATTTTATTTACTTATGATATCACTAAAAGAGAAACACTTGAACATGTTGAAGACTGGATGAAAGAATTCTGCCAAGTACAACCAGATACTTCTAAAACATTGACTATTCTTATTGGCTGTAAAAATGATTTAGAAGAACAACGTCAAATCACTTTTGAAGAAGGTGAACGATTTGCAAGTACACATCAAATCCCCTTCTTCGAATGTTCAGCTAAAACAAATAATAATATTCAAGAAATTATAGAATTTGTTGTTAGAGAATTACGTGTGAGAAATATGCTTGTTGATATGAATCCTCTTACTAATGAAGAAAATAAAGAACCAGAAAATTCAGTTATTGTTTTAGAAAAGAAAGATATTTCTAATGAACCATCTGAACAAGCTACCGGTTGTTGTTAAGTTAATCACATTTCGACTCTGAAAAAAACAAACAACATTAAAAATCATAACTTGAATCTTCTTTAAACAAGATCAATTATTTTTAATGGCTCATATTCTCCTGTTTCTGTTTTATTAATTTTTTTTTATTACTCTTTTTTAATAAATAGTAATATAATAAAATATTTATACCAAACCATTCCTTAATACGAAATAAAAAAGTTGACCAACTTCTACTCCAACTCCAAGTTGTGTATCATCACTCATAACTGTTTTATTATCTTTACTTAAAATACCAATAATGTCTGGGTTGCATCCAGCAACTATAGCTAGTCGTTGTTTAACAATTCCAATAGTATCTGAAGGAACAACAACTATAAAGTATGTTTGTTTTGCTCGTCTTAATTTAATGTAATATGACTAGACTATGATTAATTTTTATATTAATTTTTTTGTAATGAGACATCACAATTAACAAACCATATATAAATGATTATTAAGATTTTATGGATTGTTTTTTTATGAATAACAATCACTAAACTCTCTCATTTATTGTCTTTTCTTCTCACTAAAATCTATATCATTATTTTTAATTATGTTTTTATTCTTTGAAAAAAAAATAATAAAAGATCTCATAATTGTCAAACAGGAAAATGGTAGAGGAGATTCATCATCACACATTTAAAGTAGTAGAACAACCAACAAACCCTGTTATTTCTTTGTTATTTTCAATTTTTGTTATTAGTGCATTTGTATTCTTATTAATTTCCTTAATAAGAACAATTCAATTTAAAAAACTCCATTTTGGATTCTTTGGATTTTTATTTATTATTGTATTATCTGCAACATTCGTATTTATCGCGTATTTCTGGTTCTTCTTAACACTACTTGAGGCGGTAGGTCTCTTCCTTTTGATCGCACCAGTAACTTGTCTTTTTGCCTTTTGTGCTGCGAAGGCTTCTCTTTAATTGATCATTCCTTAAAAATTATCGTTATATATATCAAATAATAAGATGAAATATTCAAGAACAAACCCTCATTCTTTCATCTATTGAAAGTTATTTACTCGACAAAACAAATAACTAGAAAGTATTACGTTATTATCATTTGATAATTCTTGTATGAATAAATTTATAAATCATTCAAAGTTGAAATACACAATTTGGAAATAACGATTTTAGATACATTACTTTATTTTAAATATTTTATAAATTGTCACAAACAATATCACTCAAAAATAATATAGCCAAACTTATGTGTTATCGAATAAATGTAATTTCATCAATGTAATGAACTAAATTATTTTATTCCTAAGTTTTTTCTTAATTAAGTATAATTAAGTTGTTTGTAACAGATAAAATACAATAAGAATTAAAAAAGTAAATAATTCTCATCATCATACTTCTTTTTTACTTTATCATTTTTTACCTATCTTATTCTTTAATGTAAGTTGATATTGATATAATCAATTTTTAAATATAATCGTTACATTTCTTATTTTTATTTACTGTTTTTTTTTTCTTCTTCTTTCAGTAAAATAAATAATTTATTTTATTTTTATTTTTTTAAAATTGATGCTTCTATTTTTTTATTGTATTTTCTAATATGACAGATAATTCTTTTTATCTTATTGGTTTTCAATTATAGATACGATGTGTGTTCATTTAAGCTTTATCAATTTATTTTATTAATTTTTAAAACACTACTAGAAGATGCTTAACACTTTTTAATATCATTACTAACTTAATAATACATTTTTTTCAATTAAAAATGGCACAGTTGTATTTTTGTTCTTATAGTTTATGAACTTCTTATTCAATGACTTGACTTGATTTATTTTTCCAAATGTCTTTATTTAACATCATTTGTATTTCATATAATGTTTGAAATAAATTATTGTGTCATTGTTATTTTGATATATTTCATTTTGTAAGTATTTTTTCTCCGTTTCTTATAAGAATGATAAAATAAATAACAACAATAAATATTAATAATACATCCAGAACAACGAATGAAGAAGATAATCAAATTATTGATTCTTATTTTTAATAAACTTTTTTATATTACTACTCTTTAATATATTAATTATAATCAAAATGATATTGATAATATATTTCAATATGAAACAATTAGTCATAAATAAACAATAAAATATCATAAAAACAAATATAAGATTTATAAAATAAAAAGAAGATAAATAAATGATATTA